AAACTCAAGTCAAATTAATATCCACTTCAATAATAAGTGTCTGAGTTTAAACATTTAAACGAGTGCTATGAAATCAAAATCACTTGTGATGCAAAACATAATTGTAATGTTGTGTTGCTCATTGGACTGTTTTCATCCAAAATAGACACAAAATTCCTTGAAAATTACTTCTTTAAATCCTAGTCTAATGAGCGAAACACAACGGCTTTGCCCCCGACGTATGGTCCATTTTAGTCAAATTTCATCGTTTAGGGTTTCAAAAATGATTTTTTTCACATATTTTAAATGATATGTTAAATTTAATTAAATTAGGATTTTAATTCCATTTAGGATTACATTATCTTTAATTCTTATCATTATCTGAAGTAAGTCATTATCTAGAAGTTTAGTTATTATCCATATTTTAATTATTGCTTTAAATATAAGTTGGAAGCCTTAATGGTCTTAATTGAATTTAATTATAATAAAGAGCTTTGAGAAGTTTCTCAAAATTATTCCATCTTTCTTAACATTCGTGAGCGAATCAACAAGTTTGAATTTTTTGTGAGTTTTTGTTCTTCCCTATAAGCTTCCGCTACGTCAACATGTCAAACACTAGCTTATTAATGCCATCTCATAATTCTTATAACTACTGTCAATGACATAAACAACAACACCTAAACAAAATCGTAAACTTTAGTAATTGATATGGAAGGATTGTCTTAACTGAAATATCTTTGTAAGTCTGCCGACAATCTATGCTAAAAGGGAGTTACTAAAATATCACATTTTGAGAGTTTGATGACCAGAAAAGTTTGTTAACCCGTTTAGAAATTATATAAATACAAAAATGATGAATACTAACTTCACGTATCAATGTTCCATGCTAGTCATCTCATCCAAGACACATGAGAGCATACTTGAGATTGAAGACCAAGAGTTGAGGCATCACATGGAATTGATCCATAATCTCCATTGCCTCCTCCTCCTTGTCCTTCCAATTGTCTCCCATGTCTCTCCCCTCTCTATTTCTTGATATCGCTTTTTTTGTGACATTATTTTGTATTTAAGATCTGTTTGCCAAGCTAAATGGTTAATCTCCTTTTACAAGATAAAGAAAGTTATAAAATTTGAGAAATTGTCGCATATGGTCACTAACCTTAGTCTACCTTGTGGAAATGGTTTATAATATGTTTCTTGGCACAAACGTCACCGACCAATGTGTTTTAGTGCTATTTTGGTCCTTTTTATGAAAAAGACCAAAATGCACTTAAATTTTTATTAGAAAAAATTGCAGTTGGGTTCCTAAACTTTGCAAAAAGGTGCAAATGGCTACTTTACCGTATCTTCTTATAAAATAAATTAAAGGAAACTAACAAGATCATTTTTGTTCCGATTTAAAACTTTATTGATCAAATTGATTATATGCGTGAACAATTTTTTTTTTTGTGTATATTTTACAAAACTATTATGAACTAATTTAAGTTTAAACTTGTACTTAATTAACTATAGCATGTTAAAGAAAATTATTGGCTGTATTATTAAGTAATTACGCTGTTTTAGAATTTAAACTTTTATTTTATATTTATAACAAAAAGATAATAGAAAACAACATTTTATCACGAAGACAAATCCGTGAGGATTAAGCGGGTAGATGCTCTCAAAATGACAAAGCAGTCGGCGGTTGGGTGATTATAAAAAATAGACTTGTGTTATATCACCAAATTACAAGGTAGTGAACTACATGTTCAAATAAATGAATTTCGTATCTTAACATTTAATTGAGCCAAAGATTAAACGTTATTTATTGTCATGTGTACAAGTTAATTAACATCAATATTGTTACACAGAATTATTCTTTCAAATTAGGCGAAACTGTTTTTAGCAATTGTTAGGCTTTATTTATTATTTTTGTTGAAGGGTCAAATAACTGGAGTCATGGTTTTATTGTTTGCTATTTATTTGGCATTATTACATATGTTAGTGGGTTAGTGCAATTAGTGGGAATTATCTTGTATATTATATCTATAACTATATTTAAAGAGTGTCAAATTGATGAAGAAAGGTTCGATGAATTAATTATTTTTGCGAAGGTAGGGTTTGTATTTGAATGTCCATTGGCTCCTCGAATTCATATATATTACGAGGTGTATATAAAAGGTCTGAATTTGCTCCAATTGTTTCAATTTTTTTGTAACAAACATGGATTACATGTTATGTTTGGCCACGACATCATAGTTAATATACAGTGTAACTTGCAAGTGTGAAAACAACATTCCTACCACAAATGAATTTCGAACTCTACTTGAGGGGAATGGGCTCAAATATTAATGCTAAAATGCGATCTTTAGTTTCACGATTTTGAATTCCATGTCCATCTCCATACTGGTACATGTATTGTGCCATTCGAGCAAGATTCACTGCAATTTCAATGAATTTTTGTGAGAATGGACAATTTGCATCTCGATCTTTGTTAATCTTTTTCCAAGTCTCGCATATCAAAAACCTTATGTGTTTGCGTGACTCATCTTCGGAAGCACCAGTTTCATTCGTGTAACATTGTATTGATTTAGGAACATCGCCTCTTTCCAATTCATCCTGAATTAGTAAAGCATAAAAAAACCCCTTTAGTTGAAAGGGTTAATTTTGAATTCCTATTGTCTCATTGATTTCATTAACCAAAAATGTCGTAAACATGAAATGAAATGGCTTGATGCATACGTACCGATGATGTTGCTAAATCATCTGCAAGCCTTAAAATCGTAGCCGACCAGCGAACTATATCAGGATCTTTCTCTAAGCACTGAATGGCTTCTTTCTCTATTGGATTGGTAACAGAGAAAAAAGAATTTGACAGTATTACATGAGCTGATATTGAAATCAATGCATTTTCCATATACTCTTCCATTGTTGGGGTGTATCCACTAAAGCACCATTTTGCCTCTTGTAAGTATGCTTTGCATAAATCTATCCACTGTGACATTGATTTGACATGCTTATTGTAAATATCTTAGATAGGAAAATTTTAAGGATATTTAAAACATGAAGAGAAAGTTCGACTGGTTGTTGTTAAAGTATAAAACTTGAGATTGCTTAGCATAGAAACAATACTACTCAATATAAGGCTCGTCATTTAAGCTACCCCTCTTAATTATTATTGATCTTTTAAGATATAAGCCTAGGATCCAGAAAGTTATTATACAAGATTTTTGACAATAGAATGAACAAGATTTTTTTTTCTTCTTTAATATTATTTGGTGTTATCTAATGTCCATGATAATACACATGCTAATAAGGATATAGTCTTGAAGAAAACTTTTAATACCACTTTTCTTAAATATGGAATAATTACGATCCCTTTTTCTTTGAGAACGCCGTAAGCCATTTCATTGACGATGTTGTTGAGTGCTAGATAGAAAATTTGCATGTAATCTGGAAGTTGCTCGATTGCATTGACGTCCCATCTGTAAAGTTCCAAGAAGAAATAATTGTAAGAGCCACAAAGAGAAAGGAGGCTTAAAAAGAAACATTTGGAGTGTAAGTATTATGCCCTAAGTCAAATCAATTTTGGGCATAAATACTTTTGATATATATTTAATGCAATTTAATGGCAGATCTATTATTTAATTAATAGACAATTAAATAAATAATAGAGTCCGAAGATTCAAATCTCCGTAATTTGTTAATCACAAGGAGTTGTGATTGTAAGATGCAGATTACATCTGATTGAATCTTAAATCATCCATGTTTGTAAGTAATAACGAGATACGGATATCATTATTACGGATATACCATCACGTGTGACATTTCTTACTTGTGAAGTAAGTAGCTGATCTCACAAGCTAAAGTGTGGTGATACTTAAATGAACACGTGAATGTTTTGTTATAAAACAAAACATTGGATACCCGTCGAGAAATTACACATGGATAACTATCTGAGTGTCAGTGGTTAATCTCTAACGTTCGGTAGTGGAATTGGTCATTTGACTTGAGGTCGTCATGGTACCTTATATAAGGACAATCATACTTTTGCTGTGTTGGATGTTGCTCTAAAAAGGGCCGCTAATACGACATCATTTGGGTACGTCAAGAATCGTATGAAGGTTGTGATTGATCAATAAAGGATTCGTCACTCTTAGATAGTAGGAGATTATGATCTGCGTTTCATTCAATTAAGTCGATGATGAAATCCTTGGCTAAGGTGTACTCATAAGTCGAAAAGGAGTTTTCAACTTATATTGACTTAATAGTAGAGTGAAAGATATGATCGATGATCAAAATTGACACAATTCTATATCTCGTAATTGATCGGATCATATTGACGAAGGGATTATAGTTTCACGGTAAACGAACGAATTTGATTTTTGTCATACTACGTGACATTTTCCGTCACATATTTTGCCCTGACACATTGCTAGATATCAATCAGGGACGGTGAGTGTGAATTGACGATAAATTAAAAGGATGTGTTAATTTATCAATTTTGATTTAATCAAAATAATATTTCACATCGTTAGACATCGTGGTCGGGAACCTAATGGGTCGCACACAAAAGAGAATTGGAAGATTGTAAATTGCCAATTGGTTAATTTAACAATCGTTGGATAAATTAATTAATTGGATTTGTTATTTATATTCCCGAATTAATTAATTGGATTAATTAATTCACGGACCGGTTTAATTAAATGGATTAATTAAACATTGGACCGGACCGGGCCGAGCCCGTTTGGATTTATATAAATACATGACTAGGGTTTGAAGTCCATAAGGTTTTCATTATTCTTGCTGGCACAAGAGAGAAAACCCTGGTAGCTACAATCTTGTTCTCTGTGTGGATTACCGTTGGAAGCTGGACAATTGGACAGCTGTGGATAGCGAATCAAGATTACTGGAACGAAAGGAATAGTAAAGAAGTTTGCAGATCTGAAAAAGGTACAATCTTTTCATAATTTCTATCTAAACACAAAGACGATTCTTGGTGGGAATTGAAAATTATTTTAAATTCCGCTGTGCATGTATAAGTAGATTCCCAACATGGAGGACGTTGCTAACCTTTCAATGATGAATGTAAAAAGTTCCAATTCTTCTAACGTACCATATACATCATATATATCATCCGTAACTGTAATAAAAATATTTACTTTGGTTGCATCTATTGGAGAAATTCCATATTGTGGTTCAAATAGTACTCCAATACTCCAGAAGAAACTTTCCACCAGCCTATCCCTAGCAAATGGCAACTTTTCGGCAAGGCATGTTCTCTTCCACCACCTATTCATATATAGAAACAAAGGATGGTAAGGTTAGGATCTTAAAATACGATATATTTAGCGCACTTGGCAATACCTGGAGACATATTTTAGTTCCTCAAGATATTTTGCTTGAAATGTGTTGAAATCCAGTTTTGCAAGTTGGAGAAGAATTGGATTCATGTCTGGGCTCTTGTCATATTTGTTTATGAACCGCCCGTTGAATGAATTAAATAAATGTGTACTCTCCTAATAGATTAAACTTTTAGACGAAATAGTTCAACACTACCTTGCTTCAGCCTGAGGTATGGTCCAGTGCAGTGGAATCCCCAAGGCATGGTGCACCAATGGATCACAATGAATGTCGTCAACACTTTTATCCTCGAGATGTTTGATAGTGAATTCTCTTGCCATTTCCAGAGTACTCTCACCTTCTATTGACAAGAAAGAAGCTTCATCCAGTTGTAATAATCCCTTTGTATCATTACATGAGCTTGGCTTGAAATCACCCTTCTCATTCTTGATATAAAATCTATCTGAAATCAGTCAAGCTTTTCGAAATGTTAAGTGCGAAAAAAGTGCGAGAAAGTGATGCAAAAAATAAAACCTTAATTTCTACTTAGGAGAGCAATAATAAACAACAAAGTTGATCTCACTCCTCTCACCCACACAAAATACTAAGATCTTTTGTATAGTGGACTATCAGGGAAATCTAATACATTTAGGAAATATACAATATACCCCTGAAAAAATAATACATCTACGCTCTATTCTATAAGTGTGCATTATGATTAGGCTACAAGGAATCTGATAATAAGAAATCATAAATCAATAGAATAAATAAAGGATATTAAGTTGTTTTATGTTCACCTTGAGAGACATTAAAGCCATGTTGTCTTAGTAGTCTAAATTCCAAAGCAGTAGCATATAAATCCTTGATCTTTGGCTCATTATTTTTGCTATATTTTCTGTTTCTGAAAGCCAATATATGCTCAATTTCATCCTCGAAATGGTAAGATATTCCCAGCCTCTCCAAGTTATCAATTAATTCCACCCGTTCCAGTGGTTCCATCGTTTCATCAAGCATCATCTTCACTTGCATCTTCAGCTCAGAAGCCCTTGTTATGTATCTCTCTCCCTACATTATCCATATCATTTTTTGTCAGTCCTTACAATAGATGTAGAAAAAAATTCTTCAGATGATGATAATTACCGTGTATTCACTATTTAAGGACTGAATATAATCGAATTCCCATATGGGGGGCTTGTACTTTCCTGATCGCCTAATCACGATCTGATTACAAGGTGCGGTGGCAAGAATTCGATATTGTACAGCATTAGAAGCAAGGCTAGCAGTAGTTGTACCGAAAGCAAAACAGATCATTTTGGAAGCTCTATTTTGAACGAGCAAACAGAAATCGGCCTTAGAATTTGCTTGTAGATAATCTCTTTCTAAAACTATATATATATATATATATATAGATGATCAAACGAGCACAGCTGCTTAGCTTAGATCCACCAATTAATTGGTGTGCCATATCATCGTTGCTTAATATAAGTTAAGCATTGGTGCTCAATAGATTATACATATACACGCACACAAACAAAGATAGAGAATAATATACGCACACATTTGGTAAAAATTAAAATTCAGATTTTAATCTTTATCAAATTCAATATTTAATTTTAACCACATATGCCATGGATTCAATAACTTTCTAACCACAAGTTTCATCAACTATTATCAAAATTTACTAAAAATCAGGCTAGTGTTTGATTACCAATTTTAGTAAAATACATTTTTGTCTCTTTTTTTTTTCAATCACATACTCTTTATTAAAATAATATTACAAGCAAATCAAGAACTTTTACTTCTTTTTAACCACAAATTGGGTAATTAACACAAAACACTTACTTTTTAATGTTATTATGCAAAACGTCCATATCTTTCATTTTTTTTTGGTACTTTTATCCTTATCTTCAACTTTTATTACAAAAATCATCGTTTTCATCAAATTTCTAGTGTAAAATGACAAATACACCTCATATTTAAATAAAACCATAAAAAGGAAAGAAAAGTTAAAGAATAAAATGTAATCATACTCTCAAACTTTTTTAAAAAGTGCAAATGAGTTCAAATAAATTATTAAAGGGGTAATTAGCACAAAACATCATTACTTTTCATTTTTATTGTGCAAAACGTCTCTACCTTTCATTATTTTGACATTTTTCATCCTTATTTCATATTTCATTGCGAAAATTGTCCATATTCTCAATTAAAAGCTGTAAAATAACAAATATACATTCATCTTTAAATGAACAAAAATTTAAAAAAATAAAGACAAATAAAGAACAAATAGCAATTATATTTCCAAAATTTTCAAAAAAGTACAAATAAAAATTTCATATAAAAAATTAAAAAAGAAAGTCATTTTTACTTTGTAATTATTTATTTGAAATTTATTTGTATTTTTTTTTTTGAAAAAATTGGGAGTATAGTTGCAATTTGTCCTTTATTTTCTCTTTATTTTTGTTTATTTAAAGAGAAGGGTATATTTGTCATTTTACAACTTTTAATTAGGAAAATGGATGAAAATAATGATTTTTGAAATGAAATATAAAAATAAGGGTGAAAATGTCAAAAAAGAAAGGTAGGGACATTTTGAACAATAATAATGAAAGGTATGGACGTTTTGTACTACTTACCATTTTAATAATTTATTTGAACTCATTTACAATTTTTAAAAAAGTTTGGAGGTATGATTGCAATTTATTCTTTAACTTTTCTTTTTTATGGTTTTATTTAAATAAGGGGTATATTTATCATTTTATAAGAGAAATATGTTTAAAAAAATAATTTCTGCAATAAAATGTGAAGGTAATGGTAAAAGTGCCAAAAAATAAAAGGTAAGGACGTTGCACAATAATATTGAAAGGTAATGACGTTTTGTGCTAATTACTCCCACACATTCTTCAACAATCCACTATTCCAAAATACATTTTTTAGGAAGAATGTGGTTCAAATACACCCCTGATTTTAATCCTCAAAAATCATGGGCATAATAGGATTAAAAATAGGAATGAAAAATTATTTCTATCACAACTCAGGCCATATCGCCCACTCGAATCAGAATCCCACCACGTAGACTAGGTAAGACTTAAAAATCCCCAAGTTTTCATCAAGATTTTTCATAATAATTTTTTTTTCATTTTTACAGCGAATGGTAAATAAATTGAATGAATTTATTAGTTGTGATAGAACTTGAATTTATAATTTATTCAAGTTACTTATGTACCCAAACAGGATCAAGTCGAAAGTAGTTCATTACAAGAAAATTTCTTTTTTTACAATGAAAAATTTAAAAGAAAAAAACTTCATGCGTAAAAACGCTTTAAAAATTTTTCATTGATAGGTCCGATTTGCAATCCATATTTGTCGACAATCTTTTACGCTCCATTAGTGAATGCATAAGTAACAAGAAATGGATCATTCCATTTAGGTTGTAACTTGCTTCCTATTTTTCTCGTGATTATGATTGGCCTGCATACGGGAAATACCATATCTCCAACTTGAAACGATCTTGGTCACGCCTTTTTGTTGAAGGACTTCGCCACTCAAGCTTGATAGCACTCCGGTACATTTGTGCTTCTAACATTTTCTCATCCAAAGCTTTTAGCTCTTCCAATCAAAGACGGACATCTTCTTCAATTGTTAAACCTTCTTGAATGGCAATTCGAAGTAATGGGATTTGACACTCTAGAGGAAGTACAGCTTCCCACCCCATATTCTAAAGCGTAAAAGGAATCAACCTTTTTTAGCAAACTGTATAGTATTTTGTTGAACGCCTTTGCCAATCCGTTACCTGCTGCATTGTACATGGACGAGTTATACTGTTTGAACCCAAACTTAGCACATAAATTGTTTATGTGGCTATTGCAAAATGGTTTTCCATTATTAGTTATGATGTGTCTGGAGACACCATATCAATAAATGATTTGGATACGAATAAAATTTGCAACATTTTCTTTCTTTACTTAATGGTACGGCTTCGGCTCATGTAGAGAAGTAGTAAGTCCAGACGAGGATGTATGCATGCCATGTTGAAGACTTTGGAGTTATAGGTCCAATTACATCAAGACCCCATACAACAAACGGCCATGAAGCTACTGTAGGATGTAATGGTTCCGGAGGTTGATGGATAAAATTTGCATGGACTTGGCAAGCTTCACATTTTCTTGCATAATCCATGGAGTCTTGTACCATAGTTGGCCAGTAATACCCCCATCCTCTTTATTTGAAAATGGAGTTTGGGTCCAGACTGATGGGTACCACAAATTCCAAAGTGGGCTTCTTCCACGACCTGTGTTGTTTCATCATTACTTAGGCATCAAAGGAAAACTCCATCAAATGATCGTCAATAAAGTATTTCATTATAAAAGATAAAGAGAAAGGCACGCCTCTTAATTTCAATTTTTCACTGTGGATTATCTGGTAGTTTTTGATGTTGAAGGAAATCGATTGTTGGCTGTCTCCAATCTTTTCTTTCTTCATCTTCGAGTACTTCGACATTATTGTTTCCTTCCAAATTACTGGGTAGCAACGATGGAAGCACCCATCTTTGAGCAATTGATATGGAGTGAGAGAAATCTTCATCCAACCTAGCTAAAATAGCAGTCAAATTAGCTAAGGCATCAGCTTCCCTGTTTTCACTTCTTGGGACGAATTTGATTTTTATCGAATCAAATCGTCTCATAAGCATTGATGCATATTCATTACATGGCTTCACGTCTAAATTATGGACTTCATAGTCAGCTAAAAGTTGGTTGATTATCAATTTTGAATCTCCAAAGACTTCTAGCTAGTGGATATCCATATCTAATGCTGCTTTTAAGCCAATGATAAGATCTTGATATTCTGCCACATTGTTTGAACATTCCTGTATTAAGGTAAAAGAGTAGGACATGACAAGATCATGGGGAGTGACAAAGGCTACTCCTGCTCTAGCACTATAACTTCGGGCTGCCCCGTCGAAGTATAGCCTCCATGATGGTATAACTTTGGTAAATAGAACTTTTTCATCAAGAAGGTCTTCTTGAAGTTTACATTCTGCTGGAATTGGGTGGTTAGCAAAGAAATTTGCCAAAGCTTGTCTCTTAATGGCCTTTTATGGGATGAATTTGATATCGAACTCAAACAATAGCAGTGCCCATTTTCCAATCCTTCCAGAAAGAATCGGTCTGGACATTATGTACTTCAATGGATCAATCTTTGAAACAAGATTGATTGTGTGTGATAAAATATAATGCCTCAACTTTTTAGCTGTGAAGATTAACACAAGACATATTTTTCAATAGGCAAATACTTCATTTTAGCATCTACCAGTGTCCGACTCAAGTAATAGAGTGCATTTTCTTTTCCTTCATTGTTGACTTGGACAAGAAGTGCTCCTAGAGAATATTCTTGTGCTGCAACATAAAGAGCTAGTGGCTTCCCTAGGACTAAAGCTGTGAGTATCGGTGGACGAGACAAATATGCTTAATACTTTGGAAAGCATTTTGACAAGTGTCATCCCATTCAAATTGTACATCTTTTTTCACCAATTATTGAATGGATGATATCGTCTGACAAGGTTAGAGATAAATCTTCGAATGTATGCAAGTTTTCCTTGGAGACTCTTCAACTCACGTACATTTCTTGGCTCTGGCATTTTGATTATGGCGTCAATTTTTGATTGATCAGTTTCATTGCCTCGATGTCAAACAACGAAGCCGAGAAATTTTCTAGAGGTGACGCCAAATGCACATTTCAATGGATTCATCTTCAGTTGATGTCTTTGAAGTCTTTTAAAAACATCATATAAATCTTGTAAATGATCGCCACGTCTATTTGTTTTAACAACAAGATCATCTACATAACATTCTATAGTCTTACGCAACATGTCATCGAAAATCTTTTGCATTGTCCGGTGGTAGGTTGCCCCCGCATTTTTCAATCCAAAAGGCATAACTTTGTAACAATATGCCTTTAGGGATACAAAATGATGTGAGCTCCTCCTCTTTTGGGTTCATCCGTATCTGGTTGTATCTGAAAAATCCGTCCATTAAAGATAAGACTTCATATCCAGTAGTTGCATCCACCATCAACTCTGTTATCGAAAATGGAAAATCATCTTTCGGACATGCTTGATTTAGATCCCGGAAGTCAACACAAATTCTTAATTGCCGGTTCTTCTTTTTGACAGGAACAATGTTCGCAATCCATGTTGGGTATTTCACTTCGCGCATGAATCCAACTTCAATAAGTTTGTTGCTTCCACTTCTATTTGAGGGATTAGTTCTGGTCGAAATCTTCTTTGAGGTTGCTTGATCGGTTGAACTCCATGTCTTACTGCAAGGTGATGCACTGCAACCTTAGGATCTAACCCCAGCATTTTCTTGTAAGACCATGCAAACATGTCTTTGTATTCTT